TTCTTGCCAATTTGTACGCCACCCTGAGTTGCCTTTGGGCTGAAATGGGTGGGATATAAATGATGTAAACAAGCAAATAAATAAATAAATTTATCTCACATTCCTTGACCATCAGGAGGCATCATGATAACCCGCTACATAGAATGTACCTTGATTTACTTATCTAAAGGATCACTACCAGTAGAAGACTTTACCATTGGACATCTTCGTGGTGAATCTGAGATGGGGGGGGTGCATTTCCTCCTGTTCTTGGATGAACTAGTACATTCAGCCTCAATCGAGAAGGACTAGAAGGATGTGAAGTCCACGATATACTGTATGGAGTGTGATGGGTTTGTCATCAACAGGAAGAAGACTCATCTGGCTCCAGTGCAGAAGACCCAGCAATTTGAGGGCATCATAGGCACAATTCAGCATAGATTCTTTCTCCCATAAGACAGGAGGAATTTATCCTTTTATTAAAATATTGTTATGCCATCAACCTCAGATTTGGTGATTTTAGTAAAGTTGCTGAGGTTGATGGTGGCATGTAGCAATTCAGTGTCATTCATGAAGATTTTTAAGTGTCTGCTTGTACTGTCTTGTCATTTTTTTTTTGCTAAACATTAGATACACAATTTTGCTTCTGTAGATATATCTTCTGATAGACATGTTCTGCATGTAATGATTGTAGCTATGTAGTGATATATTGCCCACCTGATGGATGTGATGACTGCCCCGATGTATATGTCCCGATGTAAGGATTGCCTCTTCCCATTGCAGGAAAACAGAATATTGGTGCTTACCATGAAGATTCCTGTTGTGCAGTAGTGGGGAGGGAATCCTGCTCATCCTGGTCGATGATTTTTTTCATTTTAAAATCTCTGACTGTATGTGTGCTTCTCTTGTTTGTCTGAAGTTATATCATTCTACCACTGGGAAAGAGTACCTCCTTGCAGGATTGCAAGATATCCGGCGTCCCCTGGGCAACGTCTTCGCAGACGGCTGATTCTCTCAATCCAGAAGAAACCAGAGACGACTTGCAGCATGCAAGCAAGCAAGCAAAACAACCAACGGACCTTTTCAGGACCAACCATGACAATAATCTCTATCAACATCGAAGGCATGTCAGCCGCCAAAGAACAACTGCTCTATGAGCTGTGCCGAGATAAGAAATGTGACGTGCTGTGTGTCCAAGAAACACACAGGGATGAAAGTCAGAAACGACCCAAAGTTCCAGGAATGGTCTTAGTAGCAGAAAGACCACATGCACAGTATGGAAGCGCCGTCTTTGTCAAACCAGGCCTCCAAGTCAGCAGTGCCCACAACACTGAAGAAAACAATATCGAGGTTATAACAGTAGAGCTTAATAACATCACCATCACCTCTGTGTACAAGCCCCCAAATGAAGAGTTCTGCTTCTCCTCCCCCGAGAACTTTGACAGGCACCAAAGGGCGGTAGTAATTGGTGACTTCAACAGCCATAGCCACGTATGGGGCTATGCCCAAGAGGACAGAAATGGAGAGGCTGTCCTCTCCTGGTCTGAACTGCACAAACTATCTCTCATCCATGATAGCAAGCTCCCACCATCCTACAACAGCGGGAGATGGCACCGAGGTTATAACCCAGACCTCTTATTTGTGAGCGACAGCATCGTACAGCAATGCACCAAATCAGTGGGACCACCAATTCCAAACACACAGCACCGACCAATAATATGCCAACTGTTCCCAACAATAAGGCCTCAAGAAGTTCGATTTAAACGAAGATACAACTTCAGAAAGGCAGATTGGACTAAATTCTCAGACATGTTAGATGACATGATCTCATCAGTCGCGCCAATCCCTGAGGAATATGAGCATTTTATTGAAATAGTGAAAACCTGCTCACGGGCCTCCATACCGAGAGGCTGCAGAACCAACTACCTTCAGGGCATTACTCCTGAAACAGCTGCCTTGTTGGAAAACTATTACAGGCTCCACAACGAAGACCCATTTAGTGAGCAAACCCTTCAGGCAGCGCAGAGCATTGTGTCCTCCATCTCTGAAGCCAAGAAAGAACAGTGGATCAAACTGATCACAGAGGTCGACATGGGCAGGAGCAGCCAGAAGGCGTGGAGGCTGCTAAGACGGTTGAGCAATGACCCCTCACAAACTAATACCCATGCCAACATAAAGGCAGATCAGATAGCACACCAACTCTTGAAGAACGGGAAACCCAACCTTGCCACCAAATTAGGAAAGAAACCAATAGCCAGACAACAAGAGACTGAGAACAACAACCTTCATGAACCCTTTACATTCACTGAATTGGACATGGCACTCAACAAATGTAAGAATGGCAAAGCAGCTGGCTTGGATGATCTACGGATGGAACAAATCAAGAACTTTGGTCCCAAAGCAAGGCACTGGCTGCTGGAGCTGATGAACAACTGCACTGCATCCTGTCAGATCCCCAAAATCTGGAGGAAAGCAAGAGTCATAGCCATCTTGAAGCCAGGCAAAGACCGCAATGACCCAAAAAGCTACAGACCAATCTCCCTGTTGTGCCACCTCTACAAAGTTCTGGAGAGACTTATTTTGCATAGAATTATGGAAAAACTAGACCCATGTCTGATCCCACAGCAAGCTGGCTTCAGAAAAGGCAAAAGCTGCACATCACAAGTGTTGAACCTCACTCAGCACATAGAAGATGGTTTTGAAAGGCAGCAGATCACAGGAGCTGTCTTCATAGACGTGTCAGCAGCCTATGATACTGTGAACCACCGCCTCCTCCTGAGAAAAATGTATAATATCACAAAGGACGACCACCTCACCCGCCTCATAGGAAACCTGCTACAAAACAGGAGCTTTTTTGTTGAGTTCCAGGGCCAGAGAACAGATGGCGGAAACAGAAGAACGGCCTGCCTCAGGGGAGCGTGCTTGCTCCATCCATGTTCAACATCTACACAAATGACCAGCCACTGCCAGAAGGGACAGAGAGTTTCATCTATGCTGATGATCGTGCCATTACTGCCCAAGCAGGGAGCTTTGAGATGGTTGAACAGAAGCTCTCCGAAGCTCTAGGTGCTCTTACTGCCTATTACAGGGAAAACCAGCTGATCCCTAACCCATCTAAAACACAGACATGTGCTTTCAACTCAAGAACAGACAAGCATCCCGAGCTCTGAGGATCACCTGGGAAGGAATCCCACTGGAGCATTGCAGCACCCAAATATCTGGGAGTCACTCTGGACCGTGCTCTTACCTACAAGAAGCACTGCCTGAACATCAAGCAAAAAGTGGGTGCTAGAAACAATATCATACGAAAGCTTACTGGCACAACCTGGGGATCACAACCAGATACAGTGAAGACATCTGCCCTTGCGCTGTGCTACTCTGCTGCTGAGTATGCATGCCCAGTGTGGAACACATCTCACCACACTAAAACAGTGGATGTGGCTCTTAATGAGACATGCCGCATTATCACGGGGTGTCTGCGCCCTACACCACTGGAGAAATTACACTGCTTAGCCGGTATTGCACCACCTGACATCCGCCGGGAAGTAGCAGCCAATAGTGAAAGGACCAAGTCAGAGACATCTCCAGCTCATCCCCTGTTTGGGTATCAGCCAGCACGTCAACGACTTAAATCTAGAAATAGTTTTCTAAGATCTACAGAGACACTCACTGGAACACCTCAGCAAGCGAGAGTCCAAAAGTGGCAGGCTCAAACCCAGAACCTCAACCAATGGCTGATACCAAATGAGAGACTCCCCCCTGGGCACACAGAGGACTGGGCGACTTGGAAGGCACTGAACAGACTGCGCTCTGGCACCACGAGATGCAGAGCCAACCTTCAGAAATGGGGCTACAAAGTGGAATCCTCGACATGCGAGTGTGGAGAGGAGCAAACCACTGACCACCTGCTGCAATGCACCCTGAGCCCTGCCACATGCACAAGGGAGGACCTTCTTGCAGCAACACCAGAGGCACTCCAAGTGGCCAGATACTGGTCAAAGGACATTTAATCAACTCTCATACTCACAAATTTTGTAATCTGCTTGTTTGCTTTGTTCTGTTAGAAATGTAATATAATTTGACTGGTTGTTCTGACACGACAAATAAATAAATACTGGGAAAGAGGGTAGAAAGAATGATTCACATTAAACAAAGCACTGCCTGCAACGAGCATGGGTGGGGTAGGACTCAGTGTCAGGATTCCCTCCCCACAATTGCAGAAAAAAGAACCTTCAGTTTTTCTAATGTTCTGTTCTTCTTAAAATGTCTCAGGCAGGGCCTGTGTGTGAATGCCGCAGACATTTACTTGGTGTCCTTGGGCAAGTCATCTTCTCTTGGTTTTAGAGGATGGCAATAGTAAATTTCTGAATAACTCTGACAAAAAAAAACACCTCTTAGGATAGGATTGCCATGTGGGAGTTGACTTGAAGGCGTGTAACAACAAAAACTATCTTAAGAAACTCCAGGGGCAGTTATACTCTCAACTGGAACTAATCAGATGTGGTATCCACAGGATTGACCCCAGGATGGGTCCAGCAGGCACCCTCCCAGGTACTGCGGTGGTGGGAAGAAGTCCCGACTGCTCTGCAGCACTTAACATAGTTTGGTGCCACTGGGCAAATATCCTTACTCTATGTTTCCATCCTCCTTGTCAGAGTGGTCTTTGGGTATGACTCAAGTCCCGTTTGTTGACTCTTGTCTGCAGTGTTCTGATGGAGCCAAAGTTGGGGGATAGTCTGGATTTGGGCCAAAAGTTGGTTCACACCCCAACTTTGGTTAACGTGGAGCAAGGCCACATTAGAGTGTCCTCCCCCACAGTACCCCGGATCAACTCCATATTTGGCTACATAGAGTTTATTTGTTGTCTATCTGACCTAATTGGTCAGTGTAGATGTGCCCCAGGTCACAGTACTAGCTGTAGAAGCTATCTGTGAAATAATAAAATGGACAGTAGAAAACCAGTATTGCTGTACTTGAGCTGTATTTGTTTGCCAGATGTGTGTTTTTTTTAACTTCCCCAGGTTGCAATCCCCATCACTCCATCACTGGACCCATTGAGAATGCTGACTGATGATGCTGACATAGCAGCCTGGCAGAATGAAGGACTACCAGCTGACCGCATGTCCACTGAAAATGCCACAATCCTCACTAACTGTGAGCGCTGGCCACTCATGGTTGACCCTCAGCTCCAGGGTATCAAGTGGATCAAAGCCAAGTATGGAGAAGACCTCAGAGTGACCCGAGTTGGTCAGAAAGGGTGAGTAGACGTGACAGTGGAAAGGTTTCATGGGGAAAAAACCCAAAGCAAAATGGATTCAGTTGTAATGTCAAGTCTGATGTGTGTCTGATACCTACTGAAGGTTGCAGGAGCCAATTGCATTTTCAGGATTCTCTCACCAATTTGGCAGCATGTAGTTTTGCCCTCCAGTGGATCTAGATCTTGCTTTTATGAATTTTCACAAAGGAATTATTTTGTGATAGAAAAATGGAGCTACAGCCCTATTCAGATTGTTTCATCTTTGAGAAGATTTTGAAAACAATTCCAAGACTGGCAAGGTTCACCTGGGAAACTGATTATATCTTCTATTCCTGTTACATCTCTGTGGAGAGGGCCAGTTTAGCAGAATTCTCACAGGTGTTGATTCGGTAACTTGGCAGTCCTTAAAGAAATTGCTCTGTGTGTGTGTTTGGGGGAGTAGCATGTTTACAAGCATTGTTAATGTCTGTTTGGTCTTATGCTTAGACTATGACATGGTTCAAACTTTGGAGATTTTTAGTATTTGTTGTGCACCATCCCAGATTTCAAGCAGCAGTCTGACAAACATACATATAAGCAGCATGACTCCTATAGGCACTCCTTGTTTTAAACAAATGCTAGATATATAGTAATTTTGTTTCTCTGATTTTTCTTCTTATAAGAAAAATTACTTGTAATATTTCTGTGGGTAATTTGTGATTATATGTTATCTGAGATTTTTGCTTATATTGGATGTTGCTGATTTCAATCTTAGACCTCATCACACTAGAGCAGTGGTTCTCAAGCTTCCTAATACTGTGACCCATAAATACAGTTCCTCATGTTGTGGTGACCCCCAACCATAAAATTATTTTTCTGGCTACTTCATAATTGTATCTTTGCTACTGTTATGAATCGTAATGTAAATATCTGATATGCAGGATGTATTTTCATTCATTGGACCAAATTTGGCACAAATACCCGGTACGCCCAGATTTGAATACTGGTGAAGTAGAGGGGGATTGATTTTGTTATTTGGGAGTTGTAGTTGCTGGGATTTATAGTTTACCTACAGTCAAAGAGCATTCTGAACTCCACCAACAATGGAATTGAACCAAACTTAGCACACAGAATTCTCATGACCAACAGAAAATACTGGAAGGGTTTGGTGGGCATTGACCTTGAGTTTTGGAGTTGTAGTTCACCTACATCCAGAGAGCACTGTGGAATCAAACAATGATGGATCTGGACCAAACTTGGCACAAATCCTCAATATGCCCAAATGTGAACACTAGTGGAGTTTGGGGAAAAAAAGGACCTTGACATTTGGGAGTTGCTGGGATTTATAGTTCACCTACAATCAAAGAGCATTCAGATCCCCACCAATGATAGAAGTGGGCCAAACTTCTCACACAGAACCCCCATGACCAACAGAACATATTGTGTTTTCTGATGGTCTTTGGCTACCCCTCTAACACCCTCTCATGACCCCCTGAGGAGTCCCAACTCCCAGGTTAAGAAATGCTGCACTAGAGCTTGGATCCACTTTAAATCCAGTTGCTGCCTCCAGCAGAATTCTGGGGCTTGTCGTTTAGGGAGAGGCCTTTAAACTGCCCAGCTGGAGATTTCCTGATTCTCACTAAACTACAAGCCCCAGAATTCTGCAAGAGGCAAAAACCAAATTTAAAGGGGATAGATTTATCTTGCTTTGTTACTGAAATCTAAAATTGAACATCAGTAAGAGCTCTGGCGTGGGCTGGTCCATGAGGTCACGAAGAGTCGGAGACGACTGAACGAATGAACAACAACAAAAGAAGTGCCATTGCCGATGTACACACACTAGAAATTTTCACTAGCCCAGTCAAATTGGGTTGATAAAATATATTCAAATTAAACAGGTTCTATTCAGGAACAAATCACTCCACAGTTAGCAAAACTTGTTTAGCTGGTTATCAGATGTTTTCAAAGTCTTGTAGTGATCAATAGCTTGTAAAAAAATTATAACAGTCTGACAGTATTCCCGTTAGAACAAATATTTTTCTTGATTTTATCAATGGATCACTTTTCAATGCTGCTTTGTAATTTCACCCATCTCCTTTAATTTAAAAGTCTTGCTCTAATTTTTCACATGTGTACATCTTGTTCAAAACAGTCATAATGAAGCAAAGGATTTGATGCCAATTTCAGCTATCAGCAGACATGACATATTTCTGTAGGAGCCCTGATTTACTGAAGGGGATATAACTTACTGCTTCTTGCAGTGTAAATAACTAAACAAATAATGGATTTTGGTACATGGTTTGTTGAGCCTGACATATAAACCTGGGAGTTGCTGGCAATCTAAAATGATTCTACCCGCAACGAGCCAAACAAGAAACCTACAATTTGCTTTACGGTTTGTTTCGTGGTATTGGTATTAGCTTTAGCACAGCTGGTAAATCACCAGCAATGATAAGATCTACCAACCAAAAGGTTGCAAGTTCAAAGCCCCGGGTCGGCGTAGCATCTGATTGTCAGCCCTGTTCACTGTTTACCTAAGCAGTTTGAAAACGGCTTGCAGCTGTAATTAGAGAAATTAGGTACCGCTAATGTGGGGGAGGTATTTTATGATACTATAAAGGAATAGATCAAAAAATGCTGGTGACCAAAAGGAAGGAGGAAGTCCTGATGGCTCTTCGTCATTGAAGATGGAGCGACAACGTCCCCCTGTGGCTGGCAACTTCAGTAGGCTTCGACAAGCTGGATGTTCAACTGGATGTCAACACAACACAATATACCTCCTTTCTGTCCTGTCTGTCTTTGTCCAGTCCAAAAACCAGCATTGAATGTTTGTCATGTATGTGTACTGTGATCTGCCCTGAGTCCCCTTTGGGGTGAGAAAAGTGGAATATAAATAAAAGTGTTATATTATTATGTTGTTATTATAGTGAGGGATAAAAAAGATCATCACACTGATGCTAGGCTAGATACAACATGCACCAAAGCAGGAATCATTAGACAGCATCATTAGCATTCTCCTTGTATTCTAATTGTTGTGGGAAAATGCCTTGCAAAAGGCAACTTGGTGTATGTCTACTCTCTGGACTCCATGGACTTTGCTACATGTCATATGCTTGACACTCTTTTGGGCAAGAGAAGAACTGCCTCATCCCAGTGGTCCACTTTGCAAAGAAGAGTGTATTGATAAATGCATAGACCAAGCATAGCATTATTTATCTTGTTTTCATTCCCTTGTCCCAGGTATGTAGCTGGGGGGGGGGGGCTTGAGGGGCTTCACCCCCCCCCCCAAATTCTCATGGTGGTCCGCGAGAAGGCCTTACTGGTATATTATTTAAACTGTTATGTTTATTCATATCATGATCTGATCACCATGCTCAATATATCCGATATGCATGGGGCTATTGGGATAACGATACAAATGTTTGCTAGGGTAGATCCTCAGACCCCCCCCCCCTTTGAATCAAACTCAGCCCCTCCTGAGTCAAAATCCTGGCTACGGGCCTGCCTTGTCTTCTGTGTGTTCCACAGCATTTAGAATTCTGTCTGTGGTTTTGCTCTGGGACTTGCTTTTCCATTCTCTTCCTTGAGAGGGCACGTGTTGCTTGCTGTAACAACCATTAGTGATTATCATTCCATTGTCTCTGCTATTTTCCTTAGTTATCTGGACCTAGTGGAGCAGGCCCTTGCTGCTGGTGAAGTTGTTCTGATTGAGAACCTGGAAGAATCAGTTGACCCAGTTCTAGGCCCATTGCTTGGTCGAGAGACAATTAAAAAAGGAAGGTAAGACGTTGGTACATTAGATTAAACATTTTCTGTGTGTTATTGTCATCTGAGTGAAGGACCAATTGGGGTGTTCTCTGATGCCAGTCACTATTCTTCCCAATTATAACTCTGTAAAAGAAGTCAATGCTGTTAATGTGGAGACATTTCAAGTGGTGTCTCTAATTTTTGTGTCCAGCTATTAATGTAAGTTGTTTCATTTTTGAAGTATTGTCCTAATAAAAGTAGTATTTGGTGGCAGCTGCCATCACGGAGGCTGTGTAACTGCCATCACCGAGACTAATGGTGTGATCCATGAAGAGTCCTGGAGATGTTCTGCAGTTGGTGTAATCTCGAAAGTTGAGCTATTTAAACAGCCTAATCTCATGCTGTTGATTATCAGTAACTCCCCCGTAAGCATGTAGGCGTGCATAAGAACAGTTATTCCAGAGAAACAATTTCAGGGTCTTGATCCACTCACTTCCCAGGATAAGCGAGAATGTCCAAAGATCTATACAAATGAAATGAAGGTACATGTGCACCGAAACAATGGGCTGTTAGGTCCATGAAGATGTTAATCAGTAAAACACGAAGCAAAGTTGACTTGCAGTTAGTTCTTTCTAAAACTATTTAATTAATGGTGTTATTTTGACTTTTGGCAGTGCAAGTGGTGACAGTTTTTGTTTACACTTAGGTACATTAAAATTGGAGATAAAGAATGTGAATACAATTCCAGCTTTCACCTCATTCTTCATACAAAGCTAGCAAACCCTCATTACCAACCTGAGATGCAGGCTCAGTGCACTCTTATCAACTTCACTGTGACTCAGGATGGTCTGGAGGACCAGCTGCTGGCAGCAGTTGTTAGGATGGAGAGACCTGACTTGGAAGAACTAAAGGTAAGTTGCCAACTCCAAGTGTTAATGAAATCATTTCCATTTGAACTGCCTTGCAGAAACATTTTAACAGGAAAAAGAAATGTTTATTCCTAACTCAAGGTTAAAATTTCTTGGCGCTCAAAAGATTTGTTTACTCAAAGGGATGTGCTTCCAATGTGCTCCCCAACAAAAAGGCCGCCCCCTTCCTTGGCCTCTGATGAATGCCATTCTTTTCTCTCTGGGTTGCAGTCAGTGTGAGGTGACTCAGTAGATCTGCATATGCTGAGCTGGCTCCATGATCAACTCAACAGATGTCTAGGTGGCAAGAGCACTGAAAAAATAAGATGAATGTGTATTAAAAAATACTAAAAGGAATACTTAGAGTATTGTAAGCCTAAAACTGGTACCATCAATTCAACTGAGCATGCAACATTATAAAATGGGAACCTTCCTCTTTAGAAGACACGGAGTGACAGCTGTGCAAAAGCGTTGTTGTATGCCTCAAGGCTGGTCAGCAAGTTACTGTCATCTCACAGTAGCTGCTTGCAACACTGTTTCCAGGCAACATTATATAATAGAGCAAAGGTAGGCAACTAGTTTAGGGTTGGGATACAATTTCCTGCTTGAGGGATGCCCTTGGTGCAACACAGATTGCCACAAATACCTCCTGAACCACTTGGATGTGCCCAAAAGTTTTCTTTTGAAAAAAGAGGTATTTTTATGGACTCCTACAATGTGTGTGGATGGACGTGGAAACCAGTTTAAAGGCGATAAATTGCCATTCTGGATCTGCACTCTCTTTGTTGGCATTCAGGAAAAGCCTAAAAACCTTCCTTTTCAAGGAAGGCTTCAGAGGAAACTAGCGATATCCAAAAGTTAGGAAGGCCCTTTGACTTCGTTATGTATTATCAGGGTGGTTTTTAATGCATTTTATTGGAGTTTTAATTAGTTTCATAGCTTTTGCTTTAACTTGTTTTTAATTCTTATATTTTATGTTTTTACTGGCTGTAGGCTGCCTTGGACCCTTGACTGGGGAAAGGCAGGGCATAAATTTCATAAATAAATAAATAAATAATTCTTGGTGGCATCTTGATTTTTTAAAAAATATAAAAAAGCAGCCCTGGAAATCTGGAGGAGCTGAGGATGCAAAAGCAGTCATGGTGATGGTTGCAGTTGATCAACTTTCTACGTGGATTACTCCTTTGCTTATACAATTCCCACTGTTAGTTACTACTAGAAGGTCAGCTAGAGAGAATCTAAATCTTCTCCATGAAGTGGCTGGGTCGATGGCCTTCTTAATAATAGTCATAATATGAAGTTGGTTCTGAAAGATGCCATCTGCACCACATTTGTTTCAGCTTTTTTGAAGTATATGCTGACACAGATGTAGAACATGCACTGAATTATTTGTTGGATAAGAACTAGAAGTGTATTTAGGGTATTTGTTATCAAGAATACAGAAAATGTAAAGCCTTAAGATGAAAAAAAGAAGACTTGTAACCAAACAGTTAAATGCCTCTTTCAACAGAAAAGCTCAGAAAAATATTTCTTGCTGGAAAATATGACCTTATTTGTGTTTAATATTCAGACTTCATCTATATTTTATGATCACATCTTCATGACTTGTCCAGTGAAAATCAGTCAATGATAAAAATTGTATATCATTTTAAAGAGGCAGCTTGTAAAATTAAAATGAATCTGTAACACTGGAAAAAAAGCTGGTATTCCCCCTTGGCTATTATATGATCTTGTAATTTATTTATTTTTAAATTGAGAACATTGTGCAAGCAGGCAACATTAACTCTGTGTAAATCCAGTGCTGAGAGAATATTAAGGTAGAGAGGAAAAAGAGTGTTTATTTAACAATTAGCATGCTTTGTGTACATATTGTACCTTGGGGCTCTCCAAACCGCAGGGATTATAAAATTCAAGAGGAGTGAATATATTTTTGGGAAATGAAGAAGAATGGCAGATGTCTCTTGAGTCTGGGGTTATGCAGTGTTTTTATGTCCAAAAGGAAAGAGAGAGGGAGATGGAAGAAAAGAGAATGTCATGTGACAGATTTATTTTGGTATACGCTTTAGTGGACAAGAACACATTTCATAAGATACATGAACTATCATCAGATATCAAGTGTATAAATGTGAGGTCAAAGTATTTTAAACAGTGAAATGCAAACCAATAACATTTTAAACCTCAAATGTGTATCTGGTAAGTGCAAGAAATGGCAAATTATCTAGGTCAGCAATTTTCAGACTTCATTCTGAGGAAGCCTGGAGTTCTTTGAAGGCTTATAGGCATTTCTTCAGTAGAAGGTTCAGAAATGGCCAAGGTGGACATGATTCCCTGAAAAACAGCATTCCTATCAATGTGCAAACGCAGGGAAGAGGGTATGGTGTATGTCAGGCAAGAACCTGGTTGACTCTGCATGCGTACTATATGACCTGAGTATACCCTTGCAAAATCCCAAAATGTTCTGAACAGATTCTGAACAGATAGAGAAATTGCTATAGACTTTAGGCATTATGAAACCATATATAGACTTTAGGCAATATGAAACCAAGAATGTGATAACTTACCATTTGGACTACACTCCCAAGAATCCCCAGAACATCCAGATTCAAGTTCTGATGGAACTGGGCAGAAATGTTAGCTGTAGTGGAGGCAATCATTTGGTCCTTTTGTTGCACTTTTTTTTGCCTCTAATTTGTAGAGTTGAATAGATGGCGATAAATTGTAAAGATTCAGTTTATTTTATGTCCTTTGATATCATTAAATCTGCAAAAAGCAGCTTCCAGAAATCATATATTAAATCTATACATGCACTAACCATGTCTTGGCTAGGCAAAGATAAATAAATTGAGCTAAGTAACTGTGAGCAAATCGTTAAACTCAGAGAAGAAACAATGTTCTTTTGTCAAATTAAATCCCGAAGAGTCATCTTTAGCTCTTTAAGTAACTGAAATAATAGCTTTTTACCTTTGTCATAAACAGACAGTCCCTGAATTACAACACCCGATTTACAAATGATTCATAGTTAAGGATGGGGCTGAGAAAACAGGAAGAGAGAGAAATCTATCCCTAGATAGGGAAATTTACTCCTGAAAGAGATATCATGGGGGAAAAGGTGTCACCACAACAAGCCACATTTTTCCAAATCCAATTATCACCGGGACTGAAAGTGAGGTGAAATCTTCTGAACAGAGGTATAGACAGCAAAGCAAACACCACGGGGTGTTAACCCTTCCCTGTGCAATCCAAAGCATGCATTCATACACACACACACACACACACACACACACAGCTGGAGTTACAATTAAAAATGTTCTTGTTCCAACTTACATACAAATTCAACTTAAAAGTAAAACCTACAGAACCTATCTTGTTCATAACTTGGGGACTACCTGTAATAGCTTTTCCATTCCAAAACAGATCTATGCTGCATGGCTTTACAACAATAAAGAAGAGCTTTTAAAAAATCCTATTTTTCTCTAGCAGACAGTTTTTCTGACTAAACAGAAATTTAGGACTTTGTATGATTCTGAAAAATTCCAACTTTCAGTAGCCTTTAAACTTTTTCAGTAAGGAACTCCAGCTTTCTACCTTTATGTTTTCCCAGTAATAAAGTCAGAAACAATGTTTAAGATAGTTTCAGTTATTTACACCAGGGTAGTTCACAGATTTTTATTATTACCTATGATCTGATTGCTTGGCAGAACAATCTAAACCCAGATCTTCATCCCTATTTCACACAAATATGCTCCAAGACTTCATTCTCTGAAAGTCCATATGCCTTGTGCGCTTTCAAATTCTTTGTCTGAATCACAATTCAGTATTATAAATCCTATCTGGCAATTAAAACCTTGATTTGTTCTGAATTTTGGATAGGAGACCCCAATAATTGCTTGGGTAAAGAAAATGTATAAAGCCAGAGGTATTATTGGGGGATTTTTAATGACATGAGCATTATTGAGCAAATGGCTACAAAGTATTTGAATAGGGACTGCAGAGTGCCCAAATCTGTATGAAATCCAAGTGAAAATAATGTTAGACTTCCATTTGGAAGAGCCTCAGAGAGACACAGGCAGCCATGATTGCAGAACAGGTTAATCCCGGGAACTGTTTGAACACGTTTTTCAGTTGCAAAGAATTAAGCACCCCAGCTAGTGGAGGGGAGTGTTTAAACAAATGTTGTGTTGTCCAAACATGTGGACTTTGCTATTTTAGTCAATTGAAAACAAGGAATGGATTCTTGCTTTGCTTTATAAGATGAGAAATAATGCGGAGTGGGGGAAAGCATAGTGATTTTTTTTTTCAGAAGACAAACTTCAAGGCAAAGGTTCATGGTTGGATAAATTGCTCCCTCTGCAAATGAGAACAGTTGGGCAGGATGTGCACTACTATGATATGCCTAGCTACTAAGCTCGGGTTCTGGCACATCCCTGGCTCACTATGTCTTTCCAACCCTTATGCAGAACTGGATTTTGTGCTTAATGGAGCAAGCAACACTTTTGGATGTTGGCTGTCTCTCACTGGAGCTCTGATGCGGAAGCACTGGACTTTGTCTAGTGAAGTGTTTAATCTCTGCTTCTCCCTGACTTCAAACTGTACATTTTTAAACAAGGTTTAATATTACAAAACAACAATCACTTCCATTCAGTGACCTCTTTCCAAAGCTCTGAGTCTCTGGAACCACTCACCCTCCTCAGAGAATAGGGTGAGTGCCACTAGACATCTAGTCTAATTCCCCAGCTGTTTGATTATAGCTGTGAGGGCTGGCGAGTGGTCTGCTTCAGGACCAGTGGTTAGTTTTTTTCTCCAACACACTCTGGCAACATAGTGGTCTTGTTTGCTGTGTACTAATCTTGTTATGTATCAAACAACAACAACAATAATAATAATGGCTTAAGGTGGGGTACAACAAATTAAAAAACAAATTAACAAGTATACTAACTGTGTATTAGATTGGTTATTAACTGTTTTATATTGGTGTATTAAATTTTGCTGTTTCTTGTGTCCTGTGAACCGCTGTGAGTCGCCTCCGGGCTGAGAACAGCGGTATAGAAGTAAAGTAAATAAATAAAGTAAATAAATAAATATAATAAATTACATAGATATACACCCGCACACATATATGTACAGTATATATATATGAAAACTTATACCAAACACAGAAACATAATTAGCATATAGTGGTAATGGAATGTAAATCAAAATAGAATGTAAATCCTCTGGGTGACAGTCGCTAGTTGGATCCTTGCTGGTTGGAGTAGCCACCCATCAGAGGACTTCAGTGTCCTAAAGAGTGGATTGTGCAGGAGAAGGCGATCCTGTAGGTAACCCACCATTAAGACTCCAGCGTGGAAACAAGGAATTAATGCTTCCTCCCTCATATAGTTTAGTTCTGCTTCTAATCACCTCTTGTGGTTGTTAAACAACAATGAAAAACAGATGCACAAAATATATTCACACACAGTCTAGTTTTGGTCCTAAGGACAACCGTTGTAGGTCGGGTGGGAGACTTTCCAGCCCTAGGAGGCACAGGCTACTGAAATTCCAGAAGGTGTGGGGCGGGGGGGGGGGGGGGGGGGGAACAAGTAGTCAGAAGCCAACCTCTGGTTTCAAGAAATTGGTTTTATTTCTTAAATGATAAAAAGTGGAAGAGAGAGGGATTGTGCCCCCTTTAAAGTTGATTTGTCTCTCCTGGAGGCCCTCTTCTCTGGATTGTATGCCGCTTGGGGAGCAGGAATTGATTTCTATTAAGAATCCAGCCTGGAATGAGAACTTGCTTCCTATATACGGTAGTGTACTTAGAGTGGAGGCCTGTCTAAAGGGCCAAGGGATACAAATAGAAGGTGGCCTGCAGTTCCAAGGCCATCCTTTGACCACTCCTGTTTTAAGGCCAGGGCCTGAATCTTGACCTCCACTGAGGAAACAGCCTCTATCAGTGGAATGAAGGGGACACTCTCCCCCACTCCCGTGCCATCTCCTATACCTATTTGTGTGGACTGGGAACTCTCTCCAGAGCAGATTTTCAGGTGGTACAGGGATTAGAGTCATGAGGAAAGGGGGGAAAAGTCCTTTCTCATACATTGGATGCTTGTTGCTGTGATTACTGATTAGTGCAATAGTATGATCTGGGAAAAGAGCCCTTGGTGGCACAAGGAGTTAAATCTTTGTGCCAACAGGACTGCCGATCGAAAGCTTGGTGCTTCGAATTTGGGGAGCAGAGTGAGCTCCTGTCTGTCAGCTCTAGCTTCTCATGTGGGGACATGAGAGAAGTCTCTCACATGATAATAAAACATCTGGGTGTCCCCTGGGCAACATCCATGCAGATGGCCAATTCTCTCATACCAGAAGCAACTTGTAGTTTCTCAAGTCACTCCGGACATGAAAGGAAGAAATCTGGGAAAGCTTGTTTCTGGTGTCAAATCATGGATTTGGAGGTTCCCTCAGCTTCAGCTCTTGTAATAATTATATGTAACAATACTGACTTAGCATATTCAGTTTGCTTTAAGAACTATTGAAACTATATATGAGGGGCCCTTGGAATTCCTTTCTCTCTCTCTTTGTTATTTCTATATGTGAGTTTGGAAACAAGTGACTTTGCTTTTAATTCTACTAAAGGAAAGTATTTGACAGATTGTGCTTCAGAAAAAAAGTTTTATTTTTTTAAAAAAAGATAACTTTAGCATTTTGTTTCTTTTGGTGGATTGTCTCTACCTCAACTCACAGTCTGATCTCACAAAGCAACAGAATGGTTTCAAAATAACGTTGAAAACTTTGGAGGACAACTTGCTTTCCCGCCTCTCCTCTGCCTCCGGGAACTTCTTGGGGGATACAGCACTTGTGGAGAATCTTGAAGTCACCAAACAGACAGCTGCAGAAATTGAAGAAAAGGTGAAAATATAAATTTGGGTCCCAATTCCTATATGTGAAGGTTATGCTTAGAGATCCTGAGTGAATATGTGTTTTCCCCCCAAAATGTGTCCTACACTTTTATGTTCTACAGATTAGGGATTAAAAGCCTTTTGTGTTATTAAGGCAGATATTGTTGTATTCTGGCCAGATCCAGGAAGTTTATTACTTCAGAGTTCATAGAATCATAGAGTTGGAAGAGACCTCATGGGACATCCAGTCCAACCCCCTGCCAAAAAGCAGGAATATTGCATTCAAAGCACCCCTGACAGGTGGCCATTTAGCCTCTGTTTAAAAACCTCCAAAGAAGGAGCCTCCACCACACTCCGGGGCAGAGAGTTCCACTGCTCGTGTGCATTGAATGGACAATTTAAAGTACAAATAGTAGCACAAGATGTAAAGACCATAAAACTTTAGCACTATAGCAAGATGCTTTTAAACCATTCCTGCTTAACACCAAAGCATTTTATTTAACTTGAAGTAATTCAGTATGCGTTATATTTACTCAGTTAAACTAGAATTTTAATAGTGGCTGTCTAACAAGATCCACTAGAGTTTATATGGTCCAGCCATTGGCAATACTTTTTTGTAGCTTTGAGAACATGCATGACCATATTGTGTACAGTATTAAGAGAAATGAGAGATGGAGAATTAAATCAACGTAGTTGGGGTTGGGGGGAACTGTGGCTGAGGGAGTACATGAGAGATTTCTGATAGAAACTTCCAAGTACTTCTTCAAGCTATAAATCTCAGGATAGCTATAGAAATTACAGTGCTGTGAAACTAATATAACTGTACAGTACAGATACATCTTAAGTCTACATTGCATGTTTTGCATTTAATGTAACACAAAGTTTATGTTTATGGTTCTTGTAAATGGAAGTTAAACCGACGGAGGTCAGTTCTTGGTGACAAGGAATCATTTATCGGGTGAGATGGAATGTGGAATTTGAACATTTTTCATTTCTATGTGGCAAATTCCTGAATTTTACATTACTGCAGTTTTTTATAAATGCTCAAAATAAGCAGACAGGAGAGGACATACATTTGAGATAATACAGAGTTTATCTAAACCAATCACCTGAAATTTTGAGTCAGCCTCGTGATGCAAAGAACATCTGCACAAACAAGTGTGACTATCTTGCATCTTCATGATTTTTTTTTTACCTTCTTGCAGGTCCAGGAGTCCAAGGTGACAGAAACTAAGATTAATGAGGCAAGGGAGCATTACCGTCCCGCAGCAGCCCGTGCCTCCCTGCTGTACTTCATCATGAATGAACTTAATACCATCCATCCCATGTACCAGTTTTCCTTAAAGGTACGGCATTTATATGTTTTGGGAATTTCTCAAACTCCCCGGGCAGTTTAGGTGGGACACATTTTGTGTTAGGTTAATGCATTTACTCTTTGTTGTAATAATGGAAGTTGTAGGAGAACTCTGTTAATTTTCAGATATAATGATAGTTGAATTTGTTTTGTGGCTTTAATTTTTCACCAGATTTTTAAATGGTGGTGTTTCGGGTTATAGGATTACTGACCTTTGAAGCTCTAAACATTGTGGGATGGGCCCATCTCAGAGACTATGGTCTTTGAGAAGAAGTTGCTCAAGCTTTCTCTTGCAAGCAGAGTTCAAGTTGGTTCAGAAAGACTTTTTGGCTGTAGTGCCCAAATTATGAAGTAGCCTCCTGAATCAGGCTTTTATATTGGCTTCTTTGCATGCATTTTTGTGCTTTAAAAATGCTTTAAGTGTTTTATTTCATTGGTTATGGCCTTCAGATGATGTGCTCTATTACTGTATTTTGCTAGTATGTTTTAAGGTTGCTATTTATATATGGCTTGTGTGTTTGCTATTTTAAAGGTTGTTTCATTTTAGCTTATTTTGTTAATGTGTTCTTATCGAATGTTGTCTTGAAGAGAGAAAGATACAGAAAGGCAGGCTGTTAACACCCAAATGTATAAGTAAATAAGTAGATGACCAAGCAGCCATTCAAAATAGATGTTTCTGGTAGAGGGTTCCCTACAGTAAAGGCCATGATGCACATGTTCTGTGCAATGAATCATGTATTTACTGAAAAACAGATTTGTAGCTGTGATCCATTTGGATCTTATGCAATGCAGTATCATTTTAAACAGACTAATGTGAGAATTTGCTAGTTATTAATATCTTGGTTACATACAGCTGCAGTTATAAAAATGTATAATTTCATATAGAGACTGCTATTTTGTCTTTATTTTCCCCATTTTCTTCTCTTTCTTTTAATTTAAGAAATGACTATACTATACCTCATAATGCCAAGGCCTAAAGTTTACCTACAGGCCTGCTTGCAAGCTGTTAAGTGTCACTGAAGAGCAGGGAGCTGCTATATTCTTCTCTCCTTTTTTTTTGACATGTTGTCTTCTTCCCTGGAGGCCACGTGCCATTTCATATTCCTGGGCAATGTTGACCAGTCAGTGACTGAGGAAGGTGGGGCACTCTGAGCTCCAGGTGTTGAAGCCATAAGCTTCACTACAGCTTACTTGGGAGTGTATTACAGACTTCATGTAGCTCTTCCCAGCATCTGGGTCTTGATTACCTTTCCACCCACTTGTCCTCTCGTTTGCCTGTTCTTTTCCCTGAGTGCATGTGTGCAGTTGTTTGCTATTATAATTAAGAACTAGTGGCTGTAGAAAATAAACAAATTTTTGTTTTAAGAAAGCTCTTTTTAAAAGTACTCTGCTCAGCTAAATTAGAACAGGAATAGGACTAAGTTAATTTTACTTTTGTAGCCATGAATGAACAAAACAGAGGTGGAGAGAAGAGGTGGAGTGTTCCCTAAGAAGATCAGTATAACATAGGTTAGGAGAGGTGGACAAGACATGATAAAATTTGATAGCATGTAAATGTTTATTAACCGAATACTTCTAACACTTCCAACTTTTTCATGCTTTACTTGTCACAATGTGTGTGTGTGTGTGGGGGGGGGGGGGAGTGGCATATGGCAAGATCCAGTTTTGGGAAGGAAATGGGAATGATGAATTCCCAAATCGTGCCTCATTGGGGATGCCCTAAAGAGTCTGTGGGAGAAACTATAAAAAGGATGTAAGTACATACATGTTCCTCGGTTACCCTCCCCTCTCCAGATTGCCTCTACTACTCAAATTAGGGAAGATGGGTTCATCAGATGGCAGTTGAGTAATCTGATCTGGGAATCTAGCTCTCATGCCAAGCCAGCACTACAGAGCTGTAACAATAGAAGTTTGGGGCTTTATAAATGCAGTCATAAATTACACGGATTTCATAATACAGCATCACCTCTCAATGTTAGGCCTACCAACTTTCAGTACATCCTATATACATATGTTTCCCTTGGGTAGAATTTTTGTTGTAGGAAGATTATTATCAAGTTGCAATTAGAGGCTGCAAATTAAAATATGAGTCTTTCAGCTAAAAGGAGCTCCTTTGCTTTTGAGATGGATTGTCACACGGTTTTCATAAGCACCTCTAAATGATTCTCATTGATGTTAACAGATGCCTGAAAGGGTAAATATTGGCTGATATCCCAATATCATCTAGTCTTCTGCCTGCCAGTGCAGGAATCTGCCAAAAAAAAAAAAAAAGAACCAATAACAAGGATTTGTCTAATTTCTGTTTAAAAATACCTGTTGAAGGAGATTCCGCCACTTTCTGAAGTAGTTTGTTCTACCTATTAGTAGTCTGTATTATGAATTCATCTCTCTCTTTTTTATGTAGCATACTCAAAACAGGATACCCAGTTCTTCAAGTTTATTTATTGTAATAGGATCACTGATGTCTGTGAAGGAGTCTGGGGCTGGAACATTACAGGGATGAGAAAACTAGGATCAATACTTTAAAATTCTTTAATGGTTAGTAGCTACGGGTGCCAGTCAAACCCTTCACTGTAGGGAATTAACAGTAAAAAGGTCAGAATGGCTAGGAAGTGGTTGACAACTAACGCAGAATGGGAAAATTATTTCGGAAATAAATGACTCATCTTTTCCAACACAGTTGGAAGGTATGAGGCAAGCTACACATGTATGCAAGGAAAATAAAGAGACAAGGTTTAGAAGAGGGAGACAGAGAAACTTCAATCTGAGAATGAGATACTTATAAAGAGAAACAGAGCCAGAGCTAGTGATTAAAAATGTCTCGGGATTCTGAGCTGCGTCTCTCAGGATGGAGGCTGCTGCATATAAGTGACTCTTCTGCATATAACTGTATTTAACTAGGATATAAAGTACTGGTTTCAAATGATGTGTCTCATCCACATTCTTCCAGCTGTAAGTAGAGCTGGAAAAGTGTGGATGAGACACATCACCTGAAACCAGTGTGTTGGATAACTTCACAGGGCAGGTCAACTCTCCTGTTGTCCCTCCAGCCTTGCCCTCTGACGCCAGAGACTTTCTAGTCACAACAGAAAAGAAAAGTTCTTACATGGTACAACCACGAGGGCCAGATATAAGTGGAAATAGACCAAGAAAATTATGCCATATTTTAGATAGCATGGTTAGTAATATGACAGCAATATCAAAATAATACACATTTTGCAAAATACTTATCAGTCAATTGCAGAAATACGTAAAGATTCTTCATGTTATAGGGTATAACACATACAAAAAAGAGGGAGGGGTGGAGAGCGGAGTATACAACATAATGTATGAGAGAGAACATTTTTTAACTTGAAACTTCAAGTCAAGAAAGACAAATTAGTGACTATAATAGTGTCAAAGACAGATTTTAACATCATCTGTACAAACAGTTGATAACTGTAATTCATAATGTGTTGGCGCCAGTCAACAAAGGGCACATTAAAGGGTCCAGGCTTTTCCCCATGTTAACCAAAGTTGGAGGATACTCTGATTACCATTTCCAGGAAGTTTTTTTCAATGGTCTTTATCAGATGGCTGAAATAATTTTCCAATGAACATGCCATCCACTATATTCTTGTTTTATAATTATTTCATGCCTTTTGTGGTACTTGAAGTCCCCATTGGCACTGTGAACAGGGAACCAGCTTTTCTGACTGCAAAGCCAAGCAGAACCATTTCTGCAGTCTTCACTGGAGCTTGCAACTACTTGGACTTTGAAGAAAGCAAGGCAGATAAGAGAGTCTTCATACTTATTTGCTCCCATTCCTTGTACATTTAGTTGTTCAAGTGTGACATGTTAAATGAGAAGCTGCTTTGAATAAATTGATTTAAAAGATTTTAAACTTACTGTAGAAATCTGCTGAATCCATGGCAAAAACCCTTTACAGAAAAATGATAACACATCAATTTCAAAATGTATTGAATTAACAGCCCCATTGCCATCCCACTGCACACAGAAGATTTATACAGGTCTTTACCATTTGCAGTCACTCAATTTGAGCAAGCTTTTAAAAACATTTAAGGGGTGAAAGTCATATGAGTAAGTTAGTAATATTATTCTCTAGGCACAATGTGGCTATAAACTACTAATAGTTTCTATTTTTGCTGACTCCCTCAGTCCTGAGAAACAACAATTCCTAAGGGCTCACGGTATGTACTGTCTGGTGTTTAACTTGGGAATCAGTTTTTGCCATCTTTAATCAAACTGTAGCTCCTCTAAACCAGCAATTCTTCTTTTATATTTATTTTGCTGTGCAAACTATGAAGACTTCTGTGTGTCATTCTCATTTTTATCATTTTTTTTTAAAAAGCTATTTGTTTTTCTATTTCCGATAAACCCAGCTCAAGCAAGAAAGCCCTCAAGGGGATCTTATATGAAAAAATCTAATTCTTACAGTCTTTGGTGGTGTGTAGCTATTCGTTTGGCTGCAGTAAAGATAGACACATTTTTCTTTTGTTGAAGTTCATTTTTTGAATTGTCTCTAGAGGGGAATCTAATAAGAGGTGAATTTTCTTCAGGGAATCTGCTGTCCTTCATAATATCATTTTCAAAGGTGTAAAAAGTTGCCAGGGGAAAGTAGATACTTTGCCTGTTTAAAACCTTGCTTTAGAGATCATACCTTCATTTGTTTTCCTTATCTGGCTTAAGTTAAGCAGCCTGTTCTCCTGGACTGCAAAAAATAATGATGTCCTAGGCACATATAACTATCATAAAGTGTAAATTATTTTCCAGTAGTGTATTTTCAATAGTCAAATGTGTTACAATAGGTCTACAACATTATGATCATGAAGCAGTTACATTCAAATGTAGTCTGAGTTATTTCTTCCATCTGTAAAATGATGAGAGTCAGAAAACGGATGGACTCAGGGCTAATGAAAGAAGGAACTTTGGCAAAACCTCGCAGGACCAAAACACAGGAGAAGCAGTATTGAGTATAATACAGGGAGAGAGAAAGAACTCCAGTAACAAAGCCAACATAATCAAGATGGGTTGCTATGAGTTTTCCGGATTGTATGGCCATGTTCCAGAAGCTTTCTCTCCTGAAGTTTCACCCACACCTATGGTAGGCATCCTTAGAGGTTGTGAGGTCTGTTGGAAACCAGGCAAGTGGGGTTTATATATCTGTGGAATAATGTCCAGGAAGGGAGAAAGAACTAGGTGACTTAAGAAAGTAAAACAGAACACAAGAAGATTGCAGGATGTGTAGAGGTAAAATGCAATGTGGGGCAGACTTGAAAAGGAGAAGCCAAGAAGAAAACAGACAAAGAAAGAAAGAGCCTCAGAAAAGACATTTTTGGATTATACCTTCCAGGATCTCCTAACTTGAATAAGACTTACAAGAACTGCACTCCCCCCAGAAAATCACTTTACACACTCTGGTAATTGAAAACTATTGAAAGCTGAAAACATGGGTGTTTCTGAATGGAGTGCACCATATATTAGCGGTTAGAAGGCATCGTGCTTCTTCTTTTTATCCTTAAAGAATATTATTTTTTTGTGGGGGGGGGAACAAAGATTTAGTGGGAAAAACACTAGCGATAAAAATGGAAGATGTTTTCTAGACTGTGAATGAGACCTCTTATCTGGAAACTTCTGGAGATCTATTGACAGGAAAGAAATGGGCAAGCAAGGACATTTTGGAGTTTCAAGGACATCTTATTCTGAGAGCAGTTGCAAGGTCTCACAGAAAGGAAAAGAAAATTATAAGATTTAATATCTCTCATCATTGCAATGTTACCATAAAGTCAATAAGCCGTCAGTGCTTGTCTAAATTTTCACCACTTCCTTGTTTTTAGTATAAAAGTATAATTTTCAGGTCAGCACTGTTTTGAGAACTAGTACTGAATTTACTTTGTTGCTCCAGGACAGGTCCCCTGGTGTGGTGGAGAACCTTCTTGTGATCTCTTTGCATGGATCAGTTCTACTTTTTTTAGAAGTAAAGATACATCCACTGCTAGTGGCAACAGGAAAATCATGAAAATCATGAAAATAATAATAATAATAATAATAATAATAATAATAAGAAGAAGAAGAAGAAGAAGAAGAAGAAGAAGAATCCCACCCTCTCTCCCTGAGGGGACTCAGGGTGGCTTCCAAAGGCAAAAAGGGCAAACATTCAATGGCATGTGAATAACAAAATAAAACATTAAAACAAACAGTTAAAATACTCAAACACAATGAACCATTAAAACAATTAAACAACTAAATGTTTAGGCTAAAACAAATACATCAATAAGGCAAGTTAAAAATGTACATCAATACACGAATAAGGCAAGTTAAGAAACTACTTAACTTGTCTTTCTGTCTTATTTCCTGAATAGCGCACAATTTGCTCCTTCATAACTGTAACAATCTAATCTAATCATCTTGTGGCTCTTCCATGATGATATGATGGTAACAGTCTTGGATGCAACAGCTCCCAAAGTGACCCATTTAAAGTGGGATCAGGTGTCAAACAGGGATGCATTATTGCCCCAACTTTATTTTCTATCTTCATCGCTATGATTCTACACCTAGTTGATGGGAAACTTCCCACTGGTGTGGAAATCACATTCCCGACAGATGCCAAGTTTTTTAACCTCAGCAGGCTGGAAACCAAAAGTAAAGCAACAACAACTTCTGTTTTAGAATTTCAATATACTGAAATGGGTTCAAATTATAGGAAAGGAGATTCTACCTGAACATTAAGAAGAACTTCCTGACCATTCAAACTGTTCAACAGTGGAACTCTTTGCCTCAGAGTGTAGTGGGAGCTCCTTTCTTGGAGGCTTTTAAACAGAGGATGGATGGCCATCTGTCACTGGTACTTTGATTGTGCTTTTCCTGTACCGTAGAGGGTTAGACTTGATGGCCCATGTAGTCCCTTCTAGCTCTATGATTCTATGATGTTAATATAGTCTGTGCTCATTCAGAGGAAGACCTAAAAGTTAGTTTGAACACCTTTGCAGAAGCCCATTAAAAGCTTGGTCCCTCACTTAACACGGAAAAAGAAAACTGCTTTACCAGGAGGCACCAACTAATTACTCTGCAATGCCAGCAATACATCTAAATGGTGTAATGCTAGAAAATGTTGATCATTTCTGCTACTCACCAGCATTGAAGCGATAATCCTCCGCCATCAACTTTGCTGGACTGACCACGTTGTCCGAATGCCCGATCACTGTCTCCCAAGGCAGTTACATTACTCTCAGCTCAAGAACAGAAAACTGAATGTTGTTGGGCAATAAAAGAGATTAAAAGATGTGTTTAAAGATAATCTTTAAAAAGTGATATAAGCACTGGGAACTGGGATGCTCTGACACTCAAGCATTATAATTGCAGATTAACTGTTATCAAGAGTTCAATGGATTTTGAAGAGGCACAAATAGAGGGTGAAAGGGAGAAATGTGCCAAGAGAAAGGTGTGTCAAGCAAACCCTTATTGGGACCACCTTCCATCTGGAAATTTCTGTTCTCATTGTGAAAGACCATGTGGATCCAGAATAGGTCTGCACAGTTATTTACGGACCCACCGCTGGGCTTTTACCCTTGGAAGACAATTATACAGGATTAAGAGTGACTGCCTATGATGAAAACTGCAAGTTGGGATCCTCAGATTCTGACCAAGCCTTATGAAATGCATGCAGATGTCTTAGATGCAGTAGGTTCTTGATATCTGCTGGCATTTGGTCCCCCCCACCAAGGATTATCAAAATCAATTCTTCTGTTTGCAGTTCCAATAATAAATATCAGAAGGGCATTTAGTATCAAAAGGCTGGTTTCTTTAACCATACTTTCCAAGGTTGGATGAAATCAGACTCAGCATAGTATTTTGAAGCTGGAAAAGTTTTGAAATTTGCTGCAAAGTCTACACAGTGACATTCATTAATTATTTTCTTCTCTTTCTCTTCTCCTTGTAGGCATTCAGCGCTGTCTTTCAGAAAGCAGTTGCAAGAGCATCTCCAGATGAAAATTTACCCGAGCGAGTTGCCAACCTAATTGATAGCATCACCAGCTCTGTGTTCCAGTACACGACCCGGGGGCTCTTTGAATGTGACAAACTGACATACATGACCCAAGTCACTTTCCAGGTAAATGACTGGTGCTTAATAATTGATGTCTAGTGCTTCTCTTACCTTTGTGTATTGTCTGTTAGCATGCAGTGTTCTCTGTTACTATATTTTGTGCATCACCTCCTAAATGGAAAACTCTTTGGCTCTTCCAGTGGCGATTAGACAGTCATCTCCAGAACTGTTCAGATTCTGGTTGTGCTGGTGCTTTTATTGTTAAGATTCTTACTCACCGTCACTGTATAATAATCTAGTTTAACTACAACTTTATTAATTCAAATGAACATTATTAAATGAGAATGACTACAGTTCTAACACGCTACTCCACTTGTGCATTTTAGGCATTCTTGCTCTCTCTCAAGATAGACTTTTTGTATAAATACCATTTTTCAGCTGCTCTAAAGTTCAGTATAGTCTCAGTTCCCTGCAATACTGTCTGAGTTTGCCATTGCAGATTCTTCTGATGAACAAAGAAATCAATGCCGTGGAACTTGACTTCCTGCTACGATATCCTGCCCAACCTGGAGTCACCAGTCCTGTGGATTTTTTATCAAGCCAGTCATGGGGTGGCATCAAGGTAGCTGTTTCAACTAATAATAAACAATCTGATTAAATATGGGGTTGGATTATAAAACTGTAAATGGGGTTCATAAATGGTTTAGAAAACCTTAGTCAAAGAGTTCTCTTTGGTGGCTTTTTCTTAAACTAGAGGAACAATTTGAGTAGGATGCTGCAGGGCTTTGTGGTAGATCTGATATTGTTCAATGCTTTAATGTATGGCTTACCTGAAGTAGTCTAGCAATCTTGTACCACATTTGCAGATTGCATAATATTGGCAGTGAAGTAGCTAACATTAGGAAGTCTGGAATACAACTCAAAATGGCTTTGGGGTTGTAAAGTGAAAAACTGATCTGAAAGTAACAACATCAGACACAAGCAAATGTAAAGTACTGTGTTTAGGTCAGGAGTGTACAAAGTCCAGCCCTCCCAGTGTTGTTGGACTGCAGTTGTTGTAAACCTTCATCATCATGGACACAAAATTGAAAATCCACAAGATGAGAAAAGGGTTTTGGCAGTACTATATATGCAAGGATGCTTGGATTTGTAGTTGATCATAAGCTCCATGAGTCACTAGCGTGATGTTGCTGCCAAAAATGTAAATGAAATTTCATAGTTAATAGAACTGTGGTTTCTAAGTTATGAAAAGCAATAGCTCCTCTTTATTCTTGTACTTGTTAGACTTTATCTGAATGCCACTCTTTAAAAGGATATTAAAAATGGATATTTTGTTTCAGAGGAAGGCAGTGAAGATAGACAAAGATACAGAAAATAATTCTTATGAGAAACTGGACATGTTTAGTAGATAGCTGAATGTTCGTTATATAAAAGAAAGCAGAGACTTTATCTAAAGCCAGGGCTATGTTTTGAGTGAATTAATTGGCACAATAGAACTGAACCACTTAGTAGACACAGCCCCCTGCTTGCATCACTCAATTTAAAATCAATCCAACCATTTTCTCAATGTTGCTGAGAAACAGTATTGGCAGGCACAGGAACAGTTCGTCCTAGAAGACCAACTCCCATCTCCACTCTGCTAAGCCTCCACTGGCCCCTTGGCTTCTCTCTTTAACCTGGAAGACTCAAAAATTCATCTTAGTTCAAGGTACTAAAAAGGAATGGACTTGAAAGACTAGACAGTAGTTTCTGGGTTGGCAGTAAGGAAGCCGTCATTGTGGCAGTACTTAAGCTTTTGTGACTATCAGAAAGTAGAGTGTGTTTTCTGAGACTCCACGGTGATTTGGAAGTAAACATTTAATTAAACCTGATGGATTCAGCTTCTGAGGAACATGAGCTAGTTTTCTCCCTCTGTTCTTGGGAGAATCTCTTGGATGCTTCAACACAGTAGCAAACCAGCGCTTCCATGACGATTCTGTACTGTTCAAAATGATTGCCGTGTTAGTCTGGAATATCAGTATGCAAAGGGATCTTATAGCACCTTAGAGACTGAGAGGATGAAGTTGGTAACGTAAGCTTTTGTAAACTAACTCACATCTGAGGAAATACACTCCATCTGTGGACACTTATGCTACCAGCTTCATTCTCTCAGTTAGTCTCTAAGGCGATACAAAATCTCTTTGAATTCTATACTGTATTTCTAGGTTGAAATAAGCCCTACTGTGCATTCACTTGGGCTTACTGCTGGGTACGTTGGTAAAGAACTGCATCCTCAGAACCACAGCCTGCAAATTTCAAAATGATGTGTTGACTGCTTCTGTGTGCTTGGTAAAAAGCTGGAACTTCTAAAATCTATAGCATAATTCTATACAGAATGCTCTATAGATACTCAGTGGAGTTATTGAACTTGCTATTGTGCAGTAGCAATGCAATCTTCTTGTCTTCCTTGAATCCTGATGCAAGAAAGACAAGTGGTAATGCCTGCATCGAAGAGAAAACTTGGTAAACATGGTTAACTGGAAAATGAATGGTAAAAGAGTTTTTCTTAAGCTGTCTGTTGTGAGGAGTGACAGGTTGTTTTCCCTAGTGTGCCAGAAAATGGAACCACCCTTGTCTCTGTCGGCTACAGCAGCTTCTTTTTCCCTTGGAAGTTCATCAGAGACCCTTAGCCAATGCTTGCAATCTGACATCAGTACATAAACCACCACTTTAAGTAACTGGTCAGAAGTACCAGTTGACATAAGTGATCTGACTTCTCATGATGGCTTTCAATGCTTTATAACCTGTTCAGCAAACAAAAATATTTCTGTTGTATAAAATGAGTCATTGGAGAAGACTGCATACTGGAAGAAAGATGAGCCCTCAAGACCTTCCCCCAGTCGTAGATACCAAAATCCATTGATGTTCAATTCCCATTACATTTTATGTACAGTAGTGTTGTAAAGTGTTGCCACTCATGTAAAATGGCAAACAATTCAAATACGTGCTGGAGAGAACCTGAGGATCTGTGAAATGGTGGGAGGCTACAGAAGGGTATACCTACTCATTAATGTAGTACTTGGCCCATGGCAAAATCAAGGTTTGTTTTTGGGATTTGTTTCAAATATTTTTGAGCCATGTTTGGTTGAATCCATGGATCCAGAACACCTAGGCTGACCCTATTACAGTTCAGTATTGTTTCACTATAACACTAATGCGGAGAAATGAGAGAAGCCTCCCACAAGGATGATAAAACATCAAAACATCTGGGTGCCCTCTGGGCAACATCCTTTCAGAAGGCCAATTATCTCACATCAGAAGCGACTTGCAGTTTCTCAAGTTGCTCCTGACACGACAAAACAAAAAACAAAAAACAAACCTATAACACTCTGCAGAATTCTTCTTCTTCTTCTTTTTTTACAATAAGAAGTCACTGGGCGAGACACAGAAGGAGACCATGTGGAGATTCCAACATATCTGGAAACATACATGGGGAGGGCTATAAAATTACAACATATACACCCTGTAAATTAACAGAAATATGCTGCATTTCAACTTATTTTAAGTTAGGAGAGTGTTTATACAGGAAAGCAAGAAGAAGTGTCACAAAACATTTAAGAAGCCAAAGTAAATGGTGTTATCTAAATTGGCAGAAATCACCAGCTTAGATGACCTTGTTGTCTAAATCATTTAAAGCAACAAGAGTGCCAGTTTTAGCGAGATGTTAGGATCGGCATCTTAATTGTAAGAGCAATTTGACAAGTGAACCAAACTGCATGTCATGGGTTAGTGGTGGAGTCTTCCTCATTGGACATTTCCAGGCACAGGATGGGCAACCATCTGTGAGGATTTGCTACATCAAACAGGAGGTTAGGCTACATAGTAGGCCTGTGCGATCAATGAAAAAAAAAAGTTTCAATACTCATTACAAAATTAGGAGGTGGGGAAAAATGTTTCTAAAATATTTACAAAATTGGACAGGGTCCGTATCGTAACTATAACTAGTTAACTACTTTTTTCATTAAGTAATTGTGCCAATGGAGAAAGTTCAGAGGCTTCTATCTCCCTTATTGTTAGAGATATTAGCATGAAATTTGCTACAATTATAGAACATATTTACCACTGTGGAAATACTATACTGAGATTAATATAGAAGCTTTATTGAAATCTAAAATGTTACCTTCCAAGCACTTTTGCAGAGATAAAGTTAGATTAATCTTTTGCATTATAACAATAAAGATGAAGTTGACCTCCAACCACTACTCCCCCTCCCAACCATTCCAGAGCGCTGGAAAGATGTCCATTTTAACATCAATTGTTGAATTGTTTTGCACTGTCCTCCACGAAAGGATAATGCAGAGCCCAATGAAGCACAAAAATGACCCACAAAAGTCAAATTTGTTTCTTTCCTTGAAAAATAGCAACTGATTGCATCTTTATAGTGGAGACTCCTGACATATGTTTGTGTGCATGTCCATGTGTATTAGAAAAGGGTGGGAATGTTTTCCTGCTTCATCAACTTCAGAAAAGTGTTTGACAGCTTGAGGTTAAGACCTAAATTGCTACAAAATGGAATTGGCAGGAAAAAAGTACTGTCTCATCACATCTGTGTTTCAATCCATCAATTGCGGGATATGGATCAGAAGCAAAGGCAGTCAAACGAGAGGTGTAAAACAGGTGCATCCTTTGAAACCCAATTCATACTAAACATTAGTAATGCATTGATTACCTTAGAAAAGTCATAAAAACCAAGGTTGTGTTAAAATGATTTGCAAGTTATAATGTGTGTTATTTGCATATGATCTAGACTGCTTCTACACAGCCATTTAAACCGGGTCAGGATGTGTGTTGAAGAGACCCAGTTCTCTGTAGAGTTTATATTTGTTGGTTTTTAAAAAAACTTCTAATTGTATTATTTTAAAAATGGTATTTGAAAATTCACCCACTCTATTAATAGTTCAGCAAATACTATTAAAGCCTCGCCTTTGTTTTAATCCCTGATATTGACAACTAAAAAATCATTTAAAAATATTTTTAGTCATTTTTATTGTATAATACATAGAAACATACAATCTTCAAAATTAGCAGTCAAAATACCAGTATTTTCCCCAATCCCACCACCACCACAACCCCCTCCCCCCCTCCAGGAACAGTTAACTACTTTTGTTGTGCTTATTACAATCGTTCAATCATGAGGATAGTCTTATTTAACTCAGTATATTTATCTTTCTGCTTTATTCTGTAAATGAGACCCTTCCATTTTGCCTCCCAAAATCATTTGATATATCGTAGTATGGAGGAAAATACACACAGTTATGGGATGAGTCCATATTACATCTCTTTTTCTCTTCTTCCTTTTCCTCTGTCTGTTTCTCTGACATATAGTCATGCTCCAGTGTAGCCATTGCTGATGACTCCACAAGGCTCTCTGAGGATTTGTTAGATAATTCTCTTTTACCATGAGTGGTGTCAGTTTCCTTGTTCCTCACTTTTGAAACTTTATCTTTCTTCCGTCTTTTATACAAGCCCTAAGGTACCCCATCTTGGTTCCATCTTAGTTTTGTGCTGATTTTGAAACTTCAGCTACATGTCTCTACCTCAGTCCATTATGCCCTTCCATGTTCCCCTTCCTTTCCTCACCTG